TTCCTCGGTCCGCTTCTCAAATATCAAAATGTGTGCAACGGTTACGCGATAAGAAGGCCAGCAAACAGATCACATTGAGGCAGACTGAAGAAATGTGACATAGATTTTCGTCAGTTAAGCATCATAATATATGCAAAAACCTGAAATTTGAGAATTTTTACTATTACAATTCTTCCATCACTAATGCGTGTGAAGTCAAATGCAAAGATGAATCTACAAAGTGCATTATAAGTGATTCACTCCGCATTTTGAACTTGCGCCTTAAGATGATAAATAAGGCACTTAAAATTCCAAGAGTATAGAGGGTAACATAATGTAATATAGCTGGGACAAATTTACATAATGTCTGTTTCATTACCAAAAATCTATTGCGTAGTTTAGATCGAGTTGGGAGCTGATATGGGGTTCCTGGAATTCTTGACCCTCAAGGGACGCCACACAAATATATACAACTAGAACTTGGTAACTTTGAGGCAGTTACGGTTTCAGTGTGGCGTATAAATTTTCTACATATTGCTGCTGTTTATCTTTACATAAATTGAATTGCACGATAAATTGGTGAATCTTATTCAGCAAAAACAGTATTTTTAAATAATTACAATATATTTTCTTTTTATTACAGGTAACTGAGGAAAGCAGTCATAGTTTGGTGAATTAACCGCCAAAGATCAATAATGGAAGTAAAGTTGGTAAGAATTTCTTAATCAACATACCCAAAAACAGACACAATCACACCACCTTAGCGACAACCAAACCACAGTTAGAAAGTGTACTAATTGTGTCATTTTATAGTGGAACGTAACTAACTACAAGCTTATACCGAAAAAAAACGCAGAAATAATGAAATGCGCGGGTTATATATATACATAAATCTACAAAAGATCCAAATTCTATATACTTCAGCTTCTCTGCATCAAAATATTTCGTCAGTACAAAGCTTACCTCCTTCTTCCTATGTCTATAGATTCAAAAAGGTTTACAAACCATTGTGGAAAGCAGTTCTACAAAATCTAGAGTGAATACATATTCAGGTGGCTTTTGTGTACTTTTTGATTGATCTCCACAGCAAAGCTTGTCGAATCTATAGGCCAATAGGCCAGGCAATATGTATTTTTTTTCTTATAATTTCACTTTTTGGTAATATCGTTAGATTATTGCCCCCTCATGATAAGATTGAAATGGCGTCATGAGCATTTTCAGTCATTCTTAAAAACGCGTAATCTATGAAAATTTGTCGTATAGTCAACAAGTTATGAGTAATTTAAGGGCAAATGTTTTTTCAACACCTTGATGGTTCTTCAAGTATAAGAAGCGAAAGTTAAAAATTCGTACGAAAACAGCTGAGCGGTATACTCCGCACTCCAAACCAGTTTGAAGTGAACTCATTTTCGTTACTGGCACGCGTAAGTATGGAAAATGTAATATTTCGGGATAATTTATGAAGTTTTCATCATGGAAATGCTAGTCACTCACTTCTATCAGTCCGTCTATTGGCCATTTTGTCACTGAGTAGCCGTAGCAGCCGTAACAATGATTTTAATGAAAAGGGAATTCTCAACTTACTCTCCTTATAGTCCAAGAAGCTCTTTCCTTCTTAGTTTAACCACTACAAGTAGATATATCATTACACGTTCCTTTATTGAAGCAATATGACCACGAGTTTGATTCCCTTTAAAATTGTTTCCATTAATTTTTTATTTGGGACGATGGCTTTCCAGATTTTCGACCAAACGCGTTTATCATAATGGCGCTAAATGTCCCAACCCTACTATCATAACGCCAATTTGAACATATTATAAGGAAACAATAATCTCACGATACCACCATTAAAAAATTACTGTCGCCAAAATTGTAGGTTTCCCTTATACAAAATCTCCCTATTTCTTGGCCTACTAGACCGGTTTGCTCAGGAGAGCAATTTGAGAAGACGAGCTAGTGATAATTATTGAAATATTCGTGCATACATATAGATACGCATGCATCCGCAGGGCAAATATGTATTATGTATGGGACCGTGTTCTGCGGTACCGTTTTCTTCATCTCTCTCTTCTCCAGCCGCATACATTAATCATCACCGTGACGGATCCGCAGAATTTGAGATTCACTTCCTTCGCCAGTTTTGCTACTATGCTATTCAACTACCATTGTTATTTATAGTCTGTCCCGTGCATGTGAATAATTAGGAATGCAATGGAGGTTTTGGAAGTACAATCCAAGAAAATAATTTGTAGGACTGGCGCGACAGTTAGGTATACTTTTTTACAAATGGTTGTTTACACTGATACAATCGCGTAAGCAGAAACGTAAGAACCGAGGTACCGCGACTGAACAACATTAAGTATGGAGAACTTGACCATTCCTGCTTTGACCAGGACCATGCGTTTTTGGCTCCTCTCCCTCCTAATGTCCCCGATAAAAAGCTGTGGATGCAAAATTGTTCCGCTTTCCCAAACCGCGCGAAAATACCTGGATGGGCAAGCCGTTCCAGGTTTCTTTTTGGGCAGATTTTAAAAAAGTGACTGAAATTTGTTACGAACATGTAGTAGAATAGGGATATTAAACAGATCAAGTCTGTCAGACAGACCGATACAATCAGTCTATAGACATTCTTTCCCTGCCCTTCTGGTACTTACCGTCCATCTGAGCTCAGGTAGCAGAAGGAGACACGTATCGAAAACATGTCTGTATCATTCTAAGCCTTGAAGACAAATCTTCAAGGAAACCTATAATGTGTGAAGTATGACTAATAGGTGCCTAGAAATCCTGCAGACTCTTTCGCAATAAGCCCTTCTAGAGGGTCTTGAGTATATGTCAGAAGGCCTCAATGTCTGTTGAAGATGATGAGCCTGTGAGATTGTGATAGAGTCATCCTGTTCACAACAGGTGATTCTGATAAGCTATTGCCTAAACTATTGCGCATGATGCTGGAGGTAGGTGAACCTTTCTGGTGATTGGCATCTGATGGTGGTAGCTGTGGAGCTCATCCTGATGATCCAGCCTGTTGAGATGTGTACTCAACATGCAAGTTGAGTGCGCAGGCTATGTTTCATTGATGGACTTTGGTTGGTGTTACTCGGCGGCGGGAGGGGTGACAAAAGCCCATTACTGGCTTTGACTTGAGTCTGCCATAATGGAACAACAACATTCGCCGCGGCAAAACGTTGGTCATCCTTCTCCCTATTACCGATAGCTCGCTTGGGGCAGAATCTCTTGTGCTGGTCTTTTGATGCCGGATGCATTATTGACTGGGGGACTAGGTTGGCGGATTCAGCTTCTTGCCAGCTACGAGCCTCTTCTTTGATCAGGGCGAGGTACTCCTTGTAGATGGGCTTGTCTCTACAGTGACGGATTTGATGTTTGGTCAGGCCTGTTGACGCATTGCAAGAAGTACTTCTGGTCGGGAAGCAGATTGGCCTTGATGTTGGCAAGCCTGAAAAAACTTCTGCTTCCGAATGCGGCACACTTTCTACCAACTCCCTGTGGTACTCGATGGTACGGGCATTCTTGGTGTGCAGCCTTGTGCCAGGATATTATTGAAATATTCTGGCACAAAAGCTGCACATAAACCAATCCGTCATGGCTGGGGCCCCCTGTGGATGTTTGGAGGGAGGCCTGCGGAGATCTTCTGTGCCGATTTTGTCGTCCTTTGACGGTGGTAAACTGGCGACCACAAGGTCAGTTGTCAGTTATTGTTCCGAGGTGATGTGGTTGGAGATGACGAATCCCCAGTCTTGGAAATCGTTATGCCCATCTGCATTCAATGATCGACCTGTGTATCGTACCGCATGGAGGAACATGCGATGGATGATTTGTTGGGTTGATGGAGCTGGGGGATTTGGATTGGCTATCCATTCATACAGACTGCATCAGAGCCCTGATGAAAAGGTATACGACCTGGAGGCAGGGAGACAAGGGGGCAAGTCATTGTACCTGCCTGGAAGTTGCAATGTCTAAGAAGGGATGAACTCCCTAATCGTGGGAGTTTCTTTGGTAAGCACATCTTTTAATAACCCATGATGGTGGTGCGGGATCATCTCAAGCGAAAGGTGGAAGCTGCTCCAATTCCGGAAAAACTGCAGGGGGAATCGGTGGGGCCTTAATGAACCACTAAACTGCGAGAGTTGAGCTATGTAAAAGTGAATTTAATTTTGAAGTTATATGAGCTTGTTAGTGCCAGAGACATGAAGAATATCCAGGATTTGAATTGAGGGAGAAGTTTGGGAGTTGGAAGTGTAAATCTAAAAAGAGAAAATATTTATTTTAACGGTAAATGTACGGGGAAATTAAGATGTGTGAAATATGTCTAATAGGTGCTTAGAATTACTGGGGTTGGAAATGTATTAGCATACTGACATAAAAAATTGCGATACACCCTCCTCCAGCCTTCTACAACCCTCTAGCCCCCCAACTTTTTAATCTGAAGATTTTCACGAAAATGCTCAGGATACAAATCGAAATTTGGAAGCTTTTATTTTTTCGTCTTTATCATTTTTGTCTGCTGCCACTGGACCAATTTTCCAAAACTATAAATTTATTGTGCTTGATATAATAGTAACCTTGTATGAAAATTTCATCGAATTCAGAACAGTACTATCCAAGTTATAGACGGACCAAGGATTTGCGAACCCGCAGAGAGACAAACCGAGGGAAATAACTGACCGGTTTTCGTGATGTACAGGTACATCATAAGATTCCAAAAACATTCATTTTCGAAATTTTTCTCAATTACAATACTTCCTCAGTAGCGTAGGAAGTAATAATATCGTATATGATTTGAGATTGCGGCATACAAGGTTTCATCAACTACTATGGCGAAGCTGGAGAATCTAACTATTACTCTTAGGGTGATAACAGCGAAATAAGAAACCTGAAAGAGGAAAGCTGGTTGCTATTAGCGCACCTAAGACATATGTTTTAGCTAGAGAAAATGCTTTATAGCTGAAAACTGGTTTTAACTGTAAAATATACACAAAATCATTGGATGTTAGTAGCAGACTATAATGGATAAGGTTAAGGTGAATCCATCGAAAATTGATCCGAGTGCTAAATACATTTATTGGTGACTGATTAAGAACATATTAATTTGTGATTTAGATGGAAGTAGGCCACAAACCGCAGATTGAAAAAAATTTCGGTGTGAAATCCTCCAGAAAGATGCCAATACCAACCGTAAGGTGAATATCACACACTCACTATTTAATGTAGTCCTTCAATATTTATAATGGAATTTGATATTTGTTGACCGTGAATCCAGGATGTATATGTAAGTTATTGCTTATGTATGAGGTTAGGTGGAAATCCACTGGCATCGACGCAAATGCTGATGGAACGAACAGTAAATATTATCGTGTGACATCCGCCTTAGAGCCCTCTCTCATCGAGATGCAATGGCGACGTCAGCGTCGCCAGCATCCGTACCCAAAATATCCTTTTGAAGTAGACAGCTCTCTAACGTGGTGGCTAGTGACGACGCATACCGAAATCTATCTGCCATATATTCCAATAGATTAAAACACAATTTTTCGATCCAACAGTCTGGTCATCACGCAAACGTCCAGTTGAACATATTTGCCGCTAGTGTATAACATAATGGATACGGCATTTAATACTTCATCACGTCTATCTGGATGGTCTGGATGGTCGTAATTCCACGTTCGCATAACTAACCGCCATCAATTTCAGAATGTGTACATGTAATCTTAAGTGTAGCGATCCCTATAACAATCACTATCGGTCGACCATTGTGCCAGACAATATGCTATGTTAGCAAGACCGCAGGGCTGGCTGCAACATTTAGATTTATAGTAATTTATTTGATAAGCAAGTTACTCCAGCAGAAGAAATGTCTAGTAGTAACTCGTTGTAATTCAGTAAAGGCTCTCGTTACAAATAAATGTAAATTTTAATAATTATTATCATGAAAATTTTTCTGATATCTGGGTCAACAATTCGGAAGCTGAGAAACTGGACATTGCACAAAATCGCTAAAAAGGAAGATATGTACATATATCATTTGGCGGTCGTGCCAGTTCGCATCACGAAGCGTCATAAACAAAAACGCTCAGAGCCGTGGACAAATCTTGGTCATATATCGGTGAAAAAATCGTGTATCATCAATACAGTATTATCACAATCTAATCCTTGTAATCGGTTCTCCCTTTGGCATCATTTTTGTTATGGGTATTTCTAGAAAGTAACATTAATCTGCGTATATAATGGATGAAACTATTAATCCACATGAAGGTATGTTAACAAAATAATTCCAAATTATCTGAGACTGCCCGCATGGACCTATCACGCTTTCCTATGTTCACGTGGCAAGCTTTTGCTCTTGAAATATTTTGTGAGATATAAGCTGCTCACCGTGCAAGCAAATGTCCGAATCACAAAACTGAATATTCAGAATATGTCCACCCAAGAAATCAAACTTTCAATGTTAGTTAAAAAGGAAGTTCCTGCTCGATCGATGAGTATGAACAAAACAAGCATGAAACGTATTTAAATCATCACAAATGCTGTATTCGATAAGAAATAATTAGAAATCTTGAATGTGCTTATCATCCTTATTTTCTCCTGTTGTGATCTGAATTCTGTCTTACAGGTCTTTCTTGCTCAACCTGCGGACATCTTTCAAGCCATAACTGGAGCCTTTTTTGTCATTTCCTTGGTCCCTTTGGACCAAACAAATAATTGCTTTGTCCTCATCTTCAAATATTCTAATTCCAGTCCTGTCTGTCGCTCTCTGCCACTGCACATCGATTCTCCCATAAATTTCCAGGTATTAGGCTTAACGCACAGACAAATGAAACGGACCAGAACTGTCGTAGTTGCAATGGGTTAAGTGGATCTACTGCCTAAACTGTAATTAATATTTCAAGTTGCCATTATCATTTATCGCCCCTCAGCACTCACAGATTACCCATCGAATGGAACATATCGATCCACGAACCTTTTGCATTTGTAATAGAAGACATCGTAATAACGGACGAAACACGGCGATACCAACAACCAATATAGTCTAATCATATAAGCAAATTTCCCCGAAATAATTGTGAAGTCGTTTATTGATGCAAGTTGTTCAAGGCGGTATTTAAATTATGGATGCAAAAGGGTACAGCAATTCTTGTGGGAACAAATTTTATTCGACAACAAATAATAAGAAAATGTGCTTCCTGGGATTTAATTGAAAATGATGGCAGCGAACAAAACTCTTTCCAAATAAGATTTTTAGGTATATAAATAAGAAGTCATGTAATCCAGTTTCGTTACGAAGAAATATAATTTCCTAGACTTTTTTACTAAAATTTACAGGTAGGATACGCCTGTTTTCAAAATCTTCGATTAAAACGACTGCCAGCTCAAAATGTTCGAAAATAAAATCGAGAAAACGAAAAAAAACAGAAAAATAGTAGACCAATATCAACCAATTTTAGCGAATTGACCGTCTTCAAAATTAGGCAAAATGCTCATTATTATCTCTCAATACATTATTTAAAGATTCAGCGTTGTACCTTGTATAGTTTTTAAGAGTACTGTAATTGTTTATAACAGATTTGATATGCCTCCAGGGTTAGATTGACATTTGGTAGTGGTATAAGGATCCAGTAAACCAAGAGACGTCGTAGCGTAATGGGAAGGATAGCACGATTGCAGAACCGCAGGACGGGGGTTTGAATCCACGAAGCTCTTTTTGTCTCTATTATTTTTTTTTTAATTTGGAAAAACGAATGCTTTTTCGCATTATATGTACTTATATATTATCTGAGAGAGAGGGAAACTTATCGGTTAAATGTTTCTATTCACATTTCGCTATTGAAAGCCTGTTTAATGCACTACAAGTTAATTAGCTTAAATTAGTGGTGTAACACAATGTGAAGACAACACGAAAAAGTCAAAAGCATTGTGGTTGCTGTGATTAATAAATACAAAATGTCAGTGAATCTTTCATAAAATTTCATTCTATGCATAACAATACAAATTTTAGATGCAAAAAAGGATTATGTCACACTGGGATATAATTGAAATTGATTAATTCCCGATTTTTTGTATATTTAACTTTCACGTTGTGTTAGGGCATCCTCTGTCCCATCACTTCCGAAAAGGGATATTCCCTTTGCGTTATGCTGCAAAAATACAAACTGTGCAAAAAAGTCTACACTGTTGATAAAATGAGCATCTAAGCTTGACAGTAACTTGGTAAATAAAAAAACCGTGGGTTGCCTCACATAATTTTATAAGCATCCTCTGCTGCTCCAAGAGGTACCTGATTTGACCGCGTTCGAAAACTTGAGCGTATTATCACAAACAAAATTTTGGATGTCTTTCATTATTGTTGGTTAATAATGTACACTTCTAAGATATACATGTATCTTCAAAAATTATCTGCTATGATCCGACATAATATTTCTGAAATTTTATCAAAAACTATATAAACTATCATACATATACCCCCGGTTTCCTGTTTGCAAGCTTACATTGTCTATGGCGTGCGAAAAACTGTTTGATCGTAATAAAAGTACACATAATGTGAAAAAGCAGAAAAAAGGAGATTCGTGGATTCGCACCGCCCTCCTGCGATTCTGCAATCGTCGTACCAAATACACTACGACGCCTTGGTTGAGTGGATCCTTATACCGCTATACTTGACATTGACAAATGTCAAGCGAACGTTGGAGACATATAAAATCTGTTATGAACAATTACAGTACTCTTTAAAACTATACAAGATAAAATGTTGAATCTTGAAATACTGTATTAGGGACTAATAACGAGCATTTTGACTAATTCTTAAGACAGTCACTTCAGCACAATTGGTGGATATTTGCCTACAGCTTTTCATTTTCTCATATTATTTTCCAACATTTTGAACTTAGAGTCGTTTTAATCGAACGAGATTTCGCAAACAGACGTATACTGTAGTAGTACTTTCAGAAAACATCTCTAGGGAATTATTCTTCTTTGTAAAGAAACTGGATTACGTAACCTACTTATTTGACAAAGTCATGCAGTCATCAATAATGCAGCCATTTAGCACATGCTACATACTAACTAGCCTCAGACAGTTTGAGACATAATTGTGTCTTCAGTTTGGATGCTAACTTTACAAACAGTTCAGCGGATTTCAGTATGGAATATATTTTCCATGAACTATAAGGTTCGTCTGTGACCGTGTAAAAATGTCATCTCTAAGTATGTATACAAAAGGGCATGAATAAATCTTGAAAAAATAGTTATCTTCGTAACAAAAGGTGATAGACACATCCTCTTTGTTCTAAAATGTGTATAATAACGTATGTTTTTGGAATATCGTAGAGAATCTGTTCAGTTACTCACATAATACGAAATGTATGAATTAAAAATAACATCTATCTTTTGGAATGGTTTGTGGCTCACATCGGCAAGGTAAATTCGTGTATTTTGCTATAAAATGCCCTTCGAACGAACCCTGTATATTGCTCAGTAAACTAGTAGTGATGGCCGGAAGACAGGTGTTTTGGGATAAACAATTAGAGATTCTCAAAAACTAGATGACCAATCGACTTCAATTTTGTTGTGGTTATTTAGTAGCAAGTATGAAGCCTACAGATTTGAAAAATTCAAAGTAGCTGCGTGAAATAGTAGTCTCTTATTATACTGTCTTCAGAAAGGACAACATATGAATAACCCGTCGGGCACAGCTAATAGATATAGTTCGTTGGCAGCATATTCAGTAATGATTTTCTCACACAGCAAATATCACTGATTTTATATACATGCAGACCAATACACATAATCATCCTGATGCGATCTTGCTATTCAACCAACTTTCTTCTCAGAGATAAAAACTACAGACACGGACCACTCGGCCTCACAAAACACATGCAACCAATAATGCGTGTAGTTTAGTTGAGTGATTCCTCCATAGATGGACGTTCACAACGATCCTAGTGAGCAAACGTGGAATGACTGTTTGCGCCCTAAAAACCAGCTAGTCTGCAAGATGACATCTTATAGGTTTTTTTTGACGTTTTATAGGTTTTTTACATAATACCCGTGCGGTACTGCCCAAGCTATCGGGTAAAGTCGGATAAAGCGTACCGCCTGGTAAATCGTACCACCACCATTCTTGCCATAATGATCTACTACCCATGATACCTCTTGTCAAAGTTTAGAAGCTTTTATGACTATATTTGCCCCGCCCAATTTATTCTTTGCAGTTCACTTCACACTGTAAGTCAGTTTAAGGTTAAATTAAAAGCTGTTGTGCATTTTATTTTTTGCTCCTATTCATAAGCTTTTTTTACATTTGGTAAGTAGATATTTTCAAGATATATTTTTTACGTATTTTATGGACATGTACTTAGTTGTTGCTGTAATCGTTTGTTGAATAAGGGTTTATTTAGGTTGACATTTAGTTGATAAACATAAATTCGTGCTTGTTCTGTATATCGTACCACCCAGGGTTTTGTAAATCGTACCGGTACGATTTACCCAACTGAGGCTCTTTGCTTCGATTTTCAAAAAAGCTTTTATTACAGGTTTTTAAAAAAGAATATGAGTAAAGTAAGTAAGAAAATAACAAAACGGGAATACTGTCGATGGACCTCAGAAGATATGGACCATGCGATTAATGCATACAAATAAAACCAATGTGATTTTAAGAGTGCTGCAGACGTTACAGCACTCCAAAGCCGACTTTTAGAAGGCTCTTGCGCTCTTTAAATAAAAAGGCAAATGAAAATGTTCAGTCTTTAGGTCGACACACGACTTTTAGCCCTGAAATTGAAATGGAATTGGCAAAACATATTTTAAAGCTGGAAGAAAGATTTTTTGGTGTAACAATTCGGGATGTTCGACGATTGGCTCTTCAAATAGCTGTTCGGAATGATATTCCACACCGTCTCAATATCAATAAGGAAATGGCGGGAAAAGTATGGTATTATTCTTTTATGGACCCACATCCTGAACTGTCACTTAGACAACCAGAGAAAATCTCCATGGCCAGAGCAACTGGACAATGTCCATGAGTTTTTCGATACTTTAGAAAAATGTGTTGATGAAAACGGTTTTACGGCTCAAAAAATTTATAATGTTGATGAAAGTGGATTTTCAATAGCTCAGAAATGGAATCAAAAAATAATTGCACGTAGAGGAAAGCACCAAGTTGGAGGTATAGTAAGTGATGAAAGGGGCGTAAATACCACAGTTGTCGTTTGTGCCAGTGCTGCAGGTCAAACTGTACCGCCCATGATAATTTTTAAAAGAAAACGTATGGCTCCAGAGCTTACCATAGGTGCAGTACCTGGCACTAGTGTTACAATTTCAGACACTGGATGTATAAATAGTGAACTTTTTGTTAAATGGTTACAGCACGTACAAGTACCGAAAAAAAAGTTTTACTTTTACTGGATGGCCACGCAACGCACTGTAAAAATCTAGAGGCACTCATTTCAGCAAAAAGTCATGGAATTATACTATTGCAACTTCCTGGCCATACTACAAATCGGTTGCAGCCGTTAGACGTGAGCTTTTTTAAGCCTATGGAATCCTATTTTTCTCAAGGTCTAGAAACATTTTTAAGAAGCAATCCTTGTAACACTGTTTCTCAATACAACATGACTGGATTGCTCTTTGAAAGAAAGAACTGGAATATGGCCGGTTGACCGCACTGTATTTTCTGAGACAGATTTTATCGCTGCTAATGCCTTGCTTAAAAATGATTCAAAAAAAGCATGTGAGAACTCAGAGGCATAAAATCTACGTGAAACGACTCGTGAGCCTAAAGACGATGCTACTGAGCCACCAGTTTACAGTGATAGTGTAACGGTTTCACCGTCCGATTGTATTTATTAAATCACTTCTCGATTTTCATTTCAGAATCGCAACTCATTAATCCCATCTTTAGCTTATCCCATCTCTAGCTTTTTTACCTGGAAACATTTCCGCTTGGAGCGCGCTTGATGTGGAGTTCCTGATCTGTGATCTTCCTCGCGCTTCCTTTTCACTTGAGCCGCGGATCTAACAAGAGCTGAGAATTTTGTTCTCTGTAGCATGAGGTCATATAGCACCATGTGCTAGCATTTTGTAAAATGTGTGTCCAAATAGGATAACATGGCGAGTTTTATAATTCTACAGTTTTATTGCTGGATCTGCCTGTAGTTTATAGATAATCGATATGTAAGTGGTTTATTTCTTGTACGATTTTAAAATATCCATCGAACGTCATTTCGACTACTTCGATCATTCGCCATAACTTTAATCAAATCGAGGTAGAAATCGATCCACATCGATTTTACCTCTGTGTGCGTATACATATTCATAGTTCAGTGAAATTATGAGTACGTTGATTATGAATATTCGATATTTGTGTTTTATATATCAGAAGCATGTGGAGAAATTTTTGATGACCACCATCTTGTTTTACGCTTTTTTTGCTATTTCATGATTTAATTTTATGAAAGGCATTTCTAATTTTCGGTTTGATTTTATCAAACTATGTAGTGTAATTTTAACCTAGAAAATCGTTGGTTCTCTTTTGAGGCAGACTGAGATTGGAAATGCCTTGGCCCTTGGGGCACGTTGCTAATGCACACGGTTCTTTTCAGATTGGGGCCACCCCCTTTGTCTTTGCCGTCGCATTTGTCTTTGACTTTGCCTTCCTTTGTCTTTGACTTTGGCTTACCTATTGCTTGGCCTATCACTTCACCCATGCATGTGCCTTGGCTGCGCCATCACTTACAGCTTCATCCTTAATGAAGATAATCTTTAAGTTCAACTTCACTGCATCCTTCGCCTACATCTAGTTTTGAAGCCACTAAATATGAGGTCACCCCTCATAACTGGGACCTCCACTTGAAGCACTTGGCCATCCTCGCTTCAGTCCAGTTAAAATGGACCAGCTTAGCGAAAGATAAGTGGATAGTCTTGTAACAGCGCCAAAGATTTAAAACTTTTGTTTTGTTCTTTAAAATTGTAATGTAATGAAAATGCTTTTCCAGTTAAATAAAATCTGTTAAATTTTTGTGTTCTGTTTGTTCCTCTATCTTCTAGCCATGCCATGGTCGACACACATCTACACGCCTGTAGATGCCTTCATGCCACCGACTGAGCTAGCGGAAGCTAATGGTAACCCCCTTTCTGTGATTGTGCAGAAAAGTTGGAATCTTCATTGCATTCCATCTTTTCTGGACTTTTTGCGGAAAGGAAGGCTTACAATAGTACTGAACAAAAAAAAAATTGCAACACAACAGATCTCAATACCTCTATTGAAGAAATTTACCCTCTACCCGAGAATGAAGGTTAGGCTAAGGCCCGTATCGTCAGTCGTCCCTACAATTGTAGGGCGCCTTTATGGCCTCCTTGATTGTCATAGTTTTCTACTTCTCCGTGTCAGAACTCTATTTTGAGGTTATGTCACAAACATCTATTTGCATCAAATTGTGCTTGCTTTTGAGTTATATCATGTTTTATCGGCATGAAATGTCCTACAATTTAAAAAGAAAACATATCTTCACAATAGGAGAGCGCTGATGCTGACACGGGACAAGTGTAATCTAGAAATTTTTGAAGGAGAGAAAGGAGTATGACAATCAAGGAGGTCATAAACGCGCCCTACAATTGTAGGGACGACTGATGATACGGGCCTAAGAGACCAATATTTTCTCAGCCAGCCGTCATTCTGAGCACCACGCCCTATGAATTAGAAAACAAACGTAACCAAAGCCAAAAATCAACCAAACAGGTAAAAAAGAAATCTTGAGCTTTCTTCTACTTCTCTTTTTGAAGCACGTGATGGTCAATGGTCCACTTCAAAATCTGCCGTGGTAAAGGCTCAAATTGAATATGATCCTACTGATTGGTACTGCTTTATATGTGAAGAGAACATTATTGAAGATATGGTGAGATGCATTAAATGTGAAAAATGGACCCACACATCATGTGCAGTAACCAAAAAAACAAATAAAAAGATATGTGTGTGAGAACTGTAAATAACAAATTAGTAGTACGATTTAAAAACCGATGGTACGATTAAACCAACCTGTTCGCTTAATCGTACCACTTGCAAGCCTTTCTACTTTTGTATTTTTTTTGCTTAAGATGTTCTTTGATTCAGTTGCACTTTTGATTTATAGAAAGCTAAATGTTTATTTATGTTTGTGTACTAATAATATCAATAAATAGTTTAATTTTTGAGTATAGTGGTCAAAAATTTAATAATCGGTACGATTTACCCTACTTTACCCTATATTAGTCAGGGATTAGCGGACAGACATACCGACAGACAGAAATAGGAGATGATTACTATACTTTCTCGGCAATAGGCGTGGGAAGTGAAAATCATCACCATAACTCGCTCGACTCGCATTATTGCTGCACTGACTGTAACTTAAGGGGCAGACTCTACACTGGTGTGGAGACTGTAGATACGGGTCTCGGGATTTTAATAGAAGGAAGTTACAACTTTTATTGTGAAATAAGTCTAAAGAATTCTCGATCCAGTCAGCCGTATGGACGTTCGGTACGTTAGGAATCTCTGTCCATCCCATCCAATCCCTTTATTCAAACTTTCTTTTATCAGCAACTAACACACATACGCGGCTACTGCCCTCGCGAGAACCCTCACAAACTCCTGTGGAGTTGTTCGCGAAAACTGCGAAACTTCTAACGACTTCCCAGCCCAGTTCGCATTGCATCCTACCTTTTTCCTTACTCCAGATACATTCGACATCATTCACTGTTGCCATCAGCAAATGATCTAACCCTTATTCCATGCAACTGACCAGCATGGGTAGAGTGAAGTTTTCATTCGTCATGGTTCAGGAATATTAGGTAAACATCCTGATGAAACAGATACGCTGCCACAGAGCATAGAACCGGATATCAAAAAGTTATTCGTAATTCCAAAAAACTATTATAAAAATTAACCACAGGGTAATGCCAATGTCACTTAGTCATTCATAAAATATTTAGGAAATTGTATGCTACACATCTTTTCTAACATGTCTAATTGGAGTTTAGTGCAAACAAGGTATTTGCAAAAAACAATCCGTTGAAATTTGACCTTGCTGCCCCAGCTTTTTGTTCGCAGACAGATCCCATTTTAAAAAATGTCTATCATATGTGCCGGCTTATGGTGACGCACATGTTGCAAGACATTTTTATTGTAATATAAACGTACATTAAGTGTCTCACTCTACTCGCGCTCTATCTGAGAAATGAAAAGATCCAGGTAACCTCATTTTCAATGTACGCTGAGCATACATCATATTATGTAATTGTAATCCGTATTTTTTCCTATTACGTATAATGTACGAATCTAACTTGAAAGTCTCAGCAACCTCTCAGGTTTTGTCTAATTTCTCTCGAACTGCTCCGCAACTCTGTTCTTCTATCGTTTTCTACTTTCGGAAGAACAAGATATTTCTTGACGCCTTCGGATGCCGTGAGTGGATGTGAAACAGCAGCAAACCATCCTAATGATAACAGGCGTGAAATAACGCCATCTAACCCAATTTCACTACAACTCAATTTGCCAGATGCCAGCCGCCTTATTACCACAGCACAAACCTGTATATGGCTTTACTAAATTGAGAAAGTTTATATTATCCAATCATACTGATTTTAAAACTCCAAGTTATACTAGTGCTAAAGTATTTTAATCAGTTTGGAATAACATGATATACAAGCATAAATAGACTACTAAAAACACGTTACAGCATCGAAATATTGATCTCCATAACTGTATCTGATATTATAGGAGATTATATTCCAATAACGCCGCGCGGAACATTTAGGTATTATCCCATTGCCTATAAAAAAATACCGTTCATCAAACCGTCAAAGGATTCTTAAAAAGGACAATGGTGATCTTATAATT